TTCCTCATTTTGTCTCTCATAGTTGAGGTATACCTATGATGAAAATTACAGGCCTCTCATCTTTTTAAGTGGGAGAACTTGCACAATTGGTGGCTGACTAAATACTTTTTTGCCCCACTGTATATGAGCAGGTTTTTTTTTTTTTTTTTTTTTTTTTTTTATACTTCTCAGGCCGTATTATCAAAAATAAACCAAATGTTTCACCTTAACAGAATGGGCCAGTGTGATACTCTGAGAGTGGCTGAACAGGTTTTCTCTCTTTCATCATGCAGCTGACACTGTGAGTGCTTCAGTGTGGAGTCTGGCCTGTCTTGTCCAGCTGGACTGAATGGATTCCTGCTGGTCAAAGCCACTTGGGTTTATGTTTGTGTCCCACAGCCTTGCACAGCAATTTAGAGGCTTCTTACTGACTCTCGTATACCTGATTTGGGGGGGGGGGGGGGGGGATAGCAATGCCCTCGAGAACAGCTAGCCCCAGCGTCTTTGGACACAGTGAAAATATTGTTACTTAGTCCTGTCAAGTCAAGGCCACTCTAGCACAACAAGTGTAACGTGATTATATAGAGGTACACCCACTGTATTTATGTAGTCTTTCACCCAAATGATACCATTCACTGCAGTGACTGGAAGACTGTTATTTAAAACCTGTGGCCAGTATCACTTTAAAAAATCATGTAAAGAAAGGATCGTGTTGATTTCAAGGAACGGACAAAGTTTTAACTGCCCCAACAGGTTCTGCTGCTTCACCTGGTTGGACCACATTATCTGACCCCGTGTGCTCAAACACATCCTCAAATACATCCACATATAGACTTTATAACCACATGCTGTCTCTCAGTGGTGGACCACACATACACAATATGAGTGATCAAGTTAAATGGATATACGATACTGCGTGTTAGTAAGAAGTGGTGTAGTGAAAAGTGTCTGGTCTATATTCTTGTGTGTTAAGCCAGTTCAAAAAGTTCTGACTTTGGCCTTCTTCTTCTCTGCTGCTGGGTCTTCTCCTTCATCCCCTTTTTGTTCTGCTGGCTGTGTAACAGTATAGGAGAGCAGACAATCTCCGTATCTGAGATGGGACTGAACTAAAAGGCCCCATTCACACCACATGAAACACGCCAGCTGCAGTATTAAATATCCACATTGTTGTGAAGCGGTGAATGGATGCACCGCGGTTACCATGGGGCTGCTGGCTCAAAAACACACTGGGCTTGGACAGGCTGAGGTGGTTGTGGTGCTGGGCTCCACATGTGTGCAGTGGTGAGCTTCACTACGTCATGATGTCACCTCTGCCAACAACTCCGCTCATGTAGTCCTCTGCCGGTTGCCAAGCAACTGATTTTTTTTTTTTTGTTTTTATCCAAAAGTCTAGTATTGTTTGTTAACAGTAGAATAAGGAGTCCGGCGTTGTCGCTGCAACACCTGGTTAGGTGTGAAGGCAGCCTTATGGATGATAAAGGGAATGACTCCAGTGAGGGCAACTGATGCAAAGACATGTTTTACAAAGCTTGTATTTTATTACATGAAAGTAAAAAAATAGTCACTTTCACTATGCAAGTAAATATATACATAATGTCTTGCAGCTTGTAGCTGAGGTACCTTCGATGCATGGCCGTGTCTATTTATGACTGACTACACTTTTTGGTTAAATTAATGACCCTTACTTTTGTCTTTTTTTTTTCAGGAAAAGAGGAATAGAAGTTGTTCAGGTAAGTGGATGAAAACTTTTTTGTATGGTTTTTGCAGTCCGTCAATGTAAAATGTACTGTTATCCCTGTTTGGTCCACATTCTTGCTATTTTCAGTCTGAATGCATCATCGGGCCATTTTGATTTTTTTTTTTTTAAGCTGTGATGCAATTCAGCTCGGCACAATATGGCCTCCGCTCTGTAAACGGTGTTGTCTGTCAGAGGGACAGTGTCTATTCATTCTGTGAGGGTCTATAGTTTGAGTGTGTGTGTGTGGCCCCCAGGGAAGTAACGGCTGCTGTCATTAGTGGGTATCGGACACAGCACATTACATGGAGTATGTAAACACAGCACATACAGCAGCAGAGTAACAATTGTTACTCGGTCCTGGGAGCTCAGTGTTGAGTACTTGTCAGTTAAAGTGCTTTCTGTGGTTGTGGAGGAAATCGTCCCACCTTTTCTCTCAGCCTCTCACTCTGCTTTTCTTTTGTTAATTCTCTCCCCCCCCCTTTGCTTTGAGGTTATTTTTTTCTCTGGCTGTGCTAACGATAGCAGCACACCCAGAAAGAGCCTTGTCCTGGGAATAGTCCCAAAGTAAGCAGGGCTTTGTTTCCCACTGTGCATTCAGTCCCTCGTGGGAGAGTGGAACCTCACAAACAGCTCGGGGGAAACCCGGGGACTTGAACAGCCCTCTGGCCTTCCTCATAACTCTTTCTCCAGGACTACCTGTTGCCCACTGAGGTTTTTTTTCTTCTTCCACACAAATCAGCAGAAACTTTCCTTCCTTTTAGCTTGGCTGTCACTGCCAATTGAGACAGCTCAGTTTACTTAGCCAGAGGTATTTCTGAATTCACACCGGTGACTCTGCTGCCAGTCGGTTCCTGTATGGTCATGGTTGCTTCACAAGTGAAGATAATGGAAGCTGTTGTAATGCTTTGTCCTTGTTCTACAAGTCTGTGTACAAAGCCGTCTTCTCTCATTCCACTAGTGAAGTCAGAGCCCAGCAGCCCTTAGACTTTACCGTAGACTCTTATTTTGCAGTCAGTGAAGCGATGTCTAATGCAAGATTATGTATTTGAAACGTTATTCTAAATTTAGATTAGGTGATCATTTTGAGTGTTCATCTTCTATTCATTTAGTTAAGCTTTAGTGGTGGCAGTGGTGCCGTTAATGTGGATATCAAGTCCATTTAACCTTCTCTAGAAGGCTGGAGTAGAACGTATTTGCACATTTATTGAATCGCCAACCATGTCCCTGTGGTTTGAGAGCCCAGCTGATCTTGACGATAAAAAGTCAACCATGGATATCCAAGGATAAGTTTATCCCAGGCTTTTTCTGGCAGAATAAACCAATAGTTAATGTTGTTTGCAGTTGTATTTCAAGCTCATTTCTGTCAAACACAGTTTTGTTGGAATGATAGCTTGGTACTAGAGCTGAAAGAACCTGTGGGTTTCACATTGTTTTTCACTATTGTCAGACATTTTTAGACCTAATGATTCATCAGTTGAGGAAAGTAATCCGCAGATTAATAGATAATAAAAGAAATTGTCAGTTGCCGTACTACTTACGATCTACTAAAACAAAACTTTGAAAAAGAAGTCGAAATGACGTATAGATATTTGACATTGCACTCAGCGATATATGGTATTTGCCACGAGAGAGTTGATCCTCCAGAGGGTTGGTAGTGGTTATGACGTCACCCTGTGTGAACAGATCTTTGCTAAATCTGGCAGCCCCAGGGAGCTCATTTTATATTTCCATTTCTAGTGTGGGAAACCATCTACATGTATACCCATCAGGACTGACAACTGAAGGAGAACAGATGGTTCTTTTGTTTGACTTTTCATGATTGCTCCTTTCGCCTCTAGCATCTTTCCACTCTAACTCTTCTTCTTCTTTCTTTCTTTTTTTTTTTTTTCAAGCAACCCATTATCACGCTCACCTTGTCTCTCCTTTTCATCCCTCCGAGCTCCCTCTCTCCCTCCTCCGAGCGATTTTGCAGCATCTCATCAATACTGACCCCTGAGCTCATAAGAGCCATCCTCCAGGTGCTCTGTACATTATCTCGTCTGAATCACACAGCCGATGAGATTAACTCACCGGACTCGGCCTTGAGGAAGCCAATATTCGCTCTGCGAGAGGAAACCCATCACAGCAAATGGCCATCGTTTGAGTGGGCTGTTCATAGAAAGTTATCGAGTTCTGTTTTTTATTATATGGTAAGTGCTTAGGAATTTAACGTTGGTATCCGGCATTCTGCTGGATCTCACCCACATATTGAATTGGAGCTTGACAAATGAGAGATTATCTTGAGATGGTATTTATTGGTCCTCCAGTGGACCACCATCCAAAGAAAGCTGATTGGTGGCCAATATTTGCAGTTAGTAGATAGTTATTGTTGGAGTCCTGAATACAGGGTGGAGATGATAATAAATAATATATTGATCAGTTTGACCAAGATGAAGTCCATCATTACTCCTTCATCTCCTTGAATATTATTATCATTATTCCTCAGCTATTCTCAATAGACCTGGTAGAGGTCTTGCGTCTCTTTTCTTCTCAAGTTGTTTTTCATCCCCCATGATTTATCCACCTGCCAAAAATGTCTTTAAAAATGTTAAATCATGGTTGAAGGTGAAGGGCAGTTGCCTCATGAGCTCCCAGTTTGACTCTCCATAGGGTTTTTGGGTGGAGATTCCCGGTCCTGTCGATCCCCGCTAATGTTTACTCGTGTACTGTCTGTGAAGCGTGGCCAACAGCCGCAGTTTGTTTCTGACACGTTTCTTTTACACTAGACAAGAGTGCCAACACCATACTAAATAAATCATTCATCACATGTCTGTCTGCCCTCTGGGATAGTCTGACAACAAAGCGAAAGGCAGGTGAGATTAGTACGACTAGAAAGAGACTTCTGAAGGATGAAGCAGCTCCACGGCGACACCTCACCATGCAGAGACAAATAACTGCTGCAAACACGAGGTCGATGCTGTTTGTGTTCACCATATTGGTACACAATTATGTTGAAAAGTGATGTACACATGGGAGCTCTGTCCTTGCTGTTTGCTTCTCTGGAGTATCGCTTGGGCCCACCATGGAGCCACATCAAAGCTGAAAATATATTGGCCCTGACCTACCCTCTCCCTCCAGGATCCTGCATGTTTTCTATGCTGTCCATCACCGCCGTGGCCCACTGCGAGCACTCTGCCCCAGAGGGACTTGCAAAGAAGTCGGCTGACATTTCTGCTTTTAGCATTTAGCAGGACATCAGTGACTTTACTGCTGGCTTTTTTGGACGAGCTCTAAAGCGGAGGTCATTCCGTCTACGCACGGGGAGAGGAGAGCGTCATCCTCTGCGATGCGTCTTTGCCAGTGGGTGTTGACCCCCACGATGTAGAGTCCTGTGTCTGTGGAGGGGCCGGGCTGTGGACGGGCCCTCTGTGTTGTGTAAGCAAGAGATTAAAAGCCATGCCTCAGCGGAGTACAGACACATTCCCTTTCCCACCCGGCTCTAGCGAGACAGAAAAGCACCCGCTGCGGTTTTTTTACCGACCTGCTGTACCTCACACCACCGCCGAGGCCCCCGTCACTACCGCCGAGGCCCCGTCCCAACCGCTGCTCATACTGGTGTAGAGCCAGTAACAGGTTATCCGCAGGTGACGGCACATTTTATGAGGGTTGACTTACCATGACGGTGCTGTTAAGGTCATAGCTGCATGTTTGTGTTTGATGCATCTGCCTTATGCCACACCTCTGTCTGCGACTTGATATCTGATAAACCAGCTGGACTGCTGCGTACAATGAGTCACCAAAACATCTGCAGTTTTGTTTTTTGTTTTTTAAACCTGGCTTTGTAGTTTATGTAATCATACTGGTTGATGCATATCAACTCCAAAAACTGCCTGTTGAGTATTTCTCAATATCTGACTCCCAACAGTGCATCAAATGTTTTTAATCTACAATCGTCTAGTGTCTAATCCTAAATCATCACTGTCTTCTCCAGTAGCTTCGGCTGCGAATTAACATTTTGACAGAAATATTTTGCACTTGTCTGATTTTGCATATATCGAAAAATACAACATTACATATTCTGTGTTGTACATATTTGATGTGTCAATTCTTGCAAACCTGCTAGAGTCACTGTACATTTTTATCCTTGTTGCCTTGCATACATTTTTGCAGCTCATGTTGGCCTGTTACTCAGACGTACGTGTTTTTACAGGCAGGAGGAATGGAGCATGGGGAATGAGAGCCAGCAGCATATCAGCAGGGAAAGACATGCTGTGTTGATGTATAGTGCATACTGTGCTCTTTAAGAAATGTGGCTAGACTTGCACATTACAGGGTGTGTTGCCTTTTCTTTGCATTTAAGCATACTGTATAATGTGCAGTATAGATTGTGCCTGCTCGACATAGAAAGGTGCATATATCTCATATATCGGACTCCAATGAGAACAATAAACATACATACATTTCTATCAATACATGGTCTGCCCTACTGTGAGTAGGACCTAAACTATTTTGTTCTTCCTTATGAACCGCGTGTAAACACCATGGTGTCTTAGTCAACTGATAATTAACAGATTTACAACTCTGCGCAATTGACCTTCTAGGGCAGGATCAAGGGTACGCTTATTAGTCATCTATCCATCACACCTCTCACAATTATTAACCAGGAAATGTTAGCTGAACTGACAGGTTGATTGCGGCCAACCCTAAACCAACTGAAACTAGAACACTTTTACAGATCCTGTATTGATCAACACCAGTCACCAGTGTGACTAAGGTGTGGCCCCTCTCGGTTTGCGTACTGTTTGGACAGTACAAAGGACAGTGTGGGGTCCTGCCCTGCTCTGGCTTATTTGCACATGTGTTGCTGAATTGTCTTTTTTGTCTGGAATGATCAGGTGATCTCCATTTGCTGATTAGCTAATGGGTTAGTGACTGTTACGCAACAGCTGCACTGCAACCGACACAATTGGCTCCTTCTGACAGTCCGTTTGCTCTGGTTTCAGTTTCACTGTCTTAGTCCCATGATTTCATTTCACATATTCATAATGTGCTGTTAGATTATCACAGTGTTTGTACGCTGTTAGAATAAACATAGCTTAAGGATTTGTGATGATTTGTTTGTCTCTTGATATACTTTTACTCATGGCCTTATTCAGTAATGGTACACCGAGCCACGTATTGAAGGCTTCTGTATCGGGCTCTCTAACAGTCGGTCTGTCCTTTCACACAACCTTGCGTATTCTAACTTTGAAAGTTGTCTCGTCTCTTACAGACGAACCTAACTCGACTCCCTTTGTTGCATCAAACTGGACACGTTCAGCCAGAATACAGGCCTTTTGTGAATTGGACTCCGCCATCAGCAGAGGAAGCAACATCGGTTGCTACAGCCTAGCATTTTGTGTGTGTGCAAGCGCTGACCTAGATAAATCATATCGCACTCGGAGAGCTGCTTTGACTACTTGTGAACTACTTGGTCAGTCTTTCGGTTGCGGTAAACTTTAAACGAATGCTCAGAGGCTGTTGACTATGCTCGGACTGGAGGCCTGGCCAGAGGAAGAGAAAGTTTGTAACTCGCAGTAAAATTTCTGACGCCAGAAATAAATCCTGATGGTGTAATTCAAAACAAATGCAACATAAACTCTGACTGCACCAAAGTTAGAGCTATGAATAGAAGATGATTTAGAATCATCGCTCCCAATACTGTTTTATAACCAAAGAAGCAAGAATTATGGGATCGGGTGGAGAGATTACTCATGTCTATTGACAGATTACAGGTATAAATGAGGAGGGCAATGGCAGATTGATGAATTCTGAAATTGATGTTCATTCTCTGAAAAGTACTCTCCCATCATGTTCAAAAATGCTATCCCTCAGCCTGAAAAAAACCCTGATCGATTTTAGTTTTTTTAATTCTGCTGTTAACTTTATATAGTGTATATATTTTCTTGTACTGCTTGCTTTGATTAACAAGACCATGCAGGAGCAGCTATGATTCAGTCTTGTTTGTAATTTCTGAACATCCTAGACTTCATCACCAGTACTGCCTCCTACCTAAGCTGTGCTGTATAATGACGCATGCCCGATTCATATGATGAACTAACCTCAAATAAGAGGAATGTGGTTTGACTAAACCGTACATATAGGGGACATCTTTTGACTTTGTTAACCAACTGCAGGCCACAATACTTTAGGGGCGGTAAAGGAGAATGTGGGGAAGTTTTGGCAAGTTCTGACTTGAGGCCTGAACAAGCTGTGGGGATTTTACTTTTGGTCAAAAAGTTGCCATACTGCTTGTGAGAACATGTTCTTGATTTTGTGCGAAGTGTACTGTTGGCTTTACCGTTTTCTCCCTAAACTGCCTGAGAAATGAGAGTTGCAACACTATCATAGTACTTTGTTTAAACGTTAAAGAAGTACCAATTTAAAATAGAGCCACCTGGCATTACGTGAAAATACGTGACTTCCTTTGCCGTAGGTAACAAAAGGGATGGCTTTGCAGCTAAGAGACACTCTTGGCTGTTTTTAAATTTAAAAAAAGGCTTTTTATGGATGATTGCCTTGGTTAACCATCTCTAAATATGATAAATGAATACCTGCGTGTGGGAGTGCTTTTTCTTATTTTTACCGTAACCCTTGACCCACGGCTGTCCTTCCCTTCTTAGCTGGACCTCAGCCAGCCTCTGGAGGAGCAGGGTCCTCTGGACGTTATCATCCACAAACTGACTGACCTCATCCTGGAGGCTGACCAGAATGACTCTCAGGCTGTGCTGCTGGTGCAAAGAGTACAGGTATGCATCTTTGTCTTTATGTATACATTATTAGTATTTATAGGTATGTGAAGAACACCAGTACATCACTAAACAATTTACATAGACTCGGAAATGTATAAAAAATATCTTTAAAAAAGAATAACACATGGATGGGTATTGATCCTCAATAATTGTCAGTGTCCGACATGTGGCTGTAGCACCAGGTATAAAAAAATCATAAAATGTTTTATTCGTTAACGTATTCGTTGACCAAGTAGTTCCTGTTCAACTTTTTAGATTATTTCAGTTATTTATTTTATTTTATTATTATGTTACTGAGGCACATCTCTTGTATCACTGCTTGTGTTTAGACAACTTTTAATATCAAAGAACTTTCACTTTACCTTCAGTTTTCATAAAGAAGGTTTCGTAGCTAAACATGTTCATACCTCTCAACGTTTTGTAAAGAAGCGTTTCAAATGATACCCAGCGCTTATCTCTCACACAACATGTACATGATCCAGTGATCATGATACGGAACTTTAGCCAAGCTCTTCAGATACAATTTAAATGAGCTCTAGATAGTGTTGTGTGTGTAGCACTGCAGGCAATAAACATTTATGGAAGACAGAATTCTGTGTTTACATGTAAACATACCAGAGACCAAAGAGCCTTCGCTTAGCTCCAGGAACATTAAGGGCATTAGCAACTATATTTAATCATACGGTGAGTCACTTTAAGTTACCTAAGAGCTATTCTTGTTCTTCCTGATGTGACAAATCTCACATGAAACCGCAGGTCACAGCTCCAAATGTGACAGTGTGAACACACTTCAGAAAACTGGTGTGTATGTCTTTGTATTCATTAATCTAGCAGCGTTATAGATCGTGTGAAAATGTATTTTATATCACCACACCTCTCTCTCTCACTCACTCACTCACTCACTCCCCCCCCCCCACCCACCGAGGAGCTGTAATCATGATCAACGTCATGCAATTCTGTCAACGTGTTCCTCCTGACTGCTCAATTAGGAAAAACAAACAGGAAGTCAGTGTGGAGCAATCACTTACACAGCAGAGCCTGGTCAATATATTAACACATGGATGCATTTGCACACGTTTATGGTACCCTTGGTCATTTTGAAACATATGCACACACCTTGTTTTTTCTAAAGGTCTGTGTGACAGAAGAGCACTTTAGATAAAGTGTGTGTCTTCAGTGTGCTTCAGAATCATAGGTTACAGCTCGTAAGGTTTTTTTTACCCTCAGAGCCTCACCTAACACAAGCACACACAGAGACACAAAAAGACAAAGACGTGCTGTTACAGTTATTTGATCTATTCACCTGAACACAGCTGTCATCTGTGATTATAATTTCGTTGAGATGTAAGCATAGGCGCATTTCTAATATGTCTCAGATTTGATCATAAATGAAGGGAATAAGCCTTCCACTCTAAAGTACTTCGGTATTCAAAACAAAATGTCGGGCTGGGCTGCACTCTGGTGATTCAGTGGCCTGAGGTGTGAGTCGTGTGCACAGCAGACCTGGTGCAAATATTATGAGGATGTTTCTTGAGCTGCGTGATTATGGGTGCAGTGATGATCCATCGTTTTTCTGTTGTCTTGCTGCCATATAGGTACTTATGTCACTCAAGCTGATGTGGTGAATCGCACCCATCTGGTTGTACAAGTGCTTAAAATTACTTTCCACTTCAGGTTTTGATGCCTGTGGCATCTCAGACATAGTTTACAACCAGTAGCACAGATCCTCTACTGTCCATATTCTCTTGGGTTTTTTTTCCCCCCTATGGAAACAGAAAAAACGAACAGAAGATGTGCAGCCTTAACACCCACTCTCTCTCTCTCACCCACACTGACATACGTCTGGCTCTTTTCCTCTCTAACACCTGCTAGCCAGCGCTCGTCTCCATCTCACCTCCCCCTCATTCACTGTGTTTGAATGCGTTTATTATTCTAAAAAAAAAAAAGTGACGGTACTTATCAGCAGAGTATTCCTCTAAACTCCTGGAAGATTAGTCTGGATTTATTTTTCTACGGAAGCGCGTTTGCTTTACATAACCGCTGAACTGGCTTTGATCAGCATTGCCCGTTAGATCTCTGCAAATCCCACAGACGGGTCCTCCGTGTCGAGACAAAAACATTCGTTTACATGCTGAATGCGTCAATTAGTGTATGTGTGAGCTGTATGTCTTTAATGTCTGACGTTTCCGCCTGTTAATTTCACGCAAGCGTGTATGACAGCGGTGCTGTGATGTGACTGGCTGTTTGTGTGATGTGCCGGTCAGCCAGCTCCACCTGAGAGCGTTTTTGTGAGTCGGGACAAATTGCTTAGAAGGAACGGTTGGCAGAGAAATCCACAGAGCAGCGATGGAAATTGGGAGAGCACGGAGAGCTGCAAAGTGGAGAGGAGGTGGTGTCGGGCCAGAGCAGAGCCGACGAGAGGAGAGATGGGGAGTGTAGTTATGTAAAATAGCGAACCTCGCACTGACCCAACGGCCGGCCACGCAGAGATGTAGTGATGTAACCTCCAAAGACCCGCTGGCATACATCTCATGCTCTCTCTTGCTCATAAACATATACAGAATGAGGCGTGTTGACCCTTCAACTCAGCGTTTGAATTTGTAGTTTGCCCACTTTGATGTGTTAACATTTCCGATCTGTATAGATGTGCTTGTGTGATGGTAGACGGTTGCTTTGTGGTGTAAAGCCGCAGTGTGCTGGTGTGCAGCCCTCCTTTTTGCATATTTTATGTAACATATCTTTAAGCATTATGTAAATAAAAAAACGTTCTAATGTTTGCGTCTGTGTGTTTCAGGACTACATCGATGCCCACCCTGAGACCATCGTCCTGGACCCCCTCCCAGCCATCCGAACCCTGCTGGACCGCTGCAAGTCCTACCAACTCATCCACAGGATAGAGAGCTGTATGCAAGGTGAGATGTTTCATGGAACTTGGTGACATTTGTACATTTGGTAAAATTTGACACACAAATTCAAACTGCTGACTAATGACCTGTGCTGAGAACGAGAGGAAAGGTGTTTTATTAGCTGAGATTCAACATAGTTTGCAATCCGTTGTGAGACGAGAGTGGATGGTCCAAATAGGTTCCACTGAAAATAACACATAAAGTCCGGTGAGCAACCGTCCGCGCAAGCAGCTACTTTGTCACCAAGCTTTCAGCACCACTTATTTCTAAAGACTTGCAATTTTACACAGTTTTTTTGGTACATGTATCTTAAATGAATTCAGTCGTATACAAAGACTGAATTTGTGTGTCCAGGCTTTGAGTTAAACACCATTAACATCTCTGTTCCTCTCCCAGTCCTCAATATTCTATAAAACCAGAAGTTGTCTAATGTAATAACAGAACTGTTGATCTCATGGACACTGTCCCTTTTAATATCATTAGACGTGTTGCGTAAGGTAGAAGGCAGAGTCGTGGTAACTGCAGATTCTCTGTTTTTCCTCTTCCCTTCCAGAGGGGACACATGGATAACATATGACAGCGCTGTCGCCTCTCTCTTGAATTATGTTATTCGATGCTTCCGAGCAGATGTTTAATTCCTGCCAGCTGATGTCATAATTTCTCTCCTCCCTTTCACGCGACAAATGCACCGCTCCGTTTCCCCCTGCCAGACCCCAGTATAAACTTGGCTCCGTTTTTAGGTTTGTCGCTGATGGATCAGAATTTGCTTCCGAGTCGGTCCAACACCTTCCTCTGTCACAGAGACCATAAACTAATCGGCAAGAGATATCTTTTGGCTGCAGGCGGAGAAAGGCAATGACGACAGGAACACATTCCCGACCCACACACACTGTAAACACACCTGTGACTCATCCACATTTCCTTTAACCCCGTACATGGCGGGGAATGTAAACCTTTTAAGTATTACTTTACTGATCATCTACGACTCTTTGAGCAACGGATCAGAGGCATTTCGGCATGTCTGCAGTGTCATTAGGTCTTAAAATAGAACCACAAGAAGACGTCTTTTTACCCAAACAGACGTGATGGCTGTTGCATAACAGTATAAGCTGCGTCGCTCTGTCTTACATTAGGTTTGAGGGGGAAGACGGCTCACTGGCTACATTCATAGGAAGCTCTTCTTTTCTTTCCTTTTTTCGCCACTCTGCTTCCATTAATGCTAGTGGTGCTCTCTGCTCACACTCAGGCTTGCATACCAAACCTCCCTGACAATTGTGGTTAGTTTAGACACAAGCGTGGAGTGTAAGCCATTATAATCCTTCACCACGCCACTGTGATTGTCGGAAAAACAGCACGAGGCTCAGGAGAAATTGACTTTCTTCAGTCAGAGGGACTGAGAGAACTGGTATAAGTTTAGAGGGGAGAGTGTGGAAAGTCTACCTAGCTTTCTTAGACACAGCCACTTCCTCCTCCTTATCAGCAGAGGCCATGGAGTCCAGAAGCAGCTGCCAAGGCAACCCAGTGCTTAAAGGCCACAGGGAGCTCGCCATGCTTAAGTCTGCATTACTCAGAATAGTACTCAATAGAAGGAAGCACTTGAGGCGCGTTTGTGCTTTCTCTGGAAACCTTATTCTATCACTTGAGTGGTCTCTCCTTGTTGAATAGCTCCAGTCGCGGTGCATTTAGCTGTTATACTCTCGCTTGTTGAAATGGATTTCAACTTCAGTACACAAGTATCATCAGCATCATCTTGATATGTTTAATAGGAAAATAGCGGGAGCACTAATGGATCAGTGTCACTGAGTCATGGTCGTGCTGATTGAAACTGTTGGCGCTGCTCTGTTGTCCTACTTGGTTTTGTGATTCCTGTGTTAGCCAGAGAAAGGTAACTGTTTACGTTACTTAGTGGACTCTACTGGTTCCTGTGTATGCTTGACTTTTGATATCGTGGACTGTTTTTATAGACAGAAACCGTCGTCAAGTCAACTCTTGTATAAAACAAATCCCCCCTCAGTGTTTTAAGCTTCTTCTTCTCCGGCTCAGGGTGAAAGGATTCTTCTGAATACAAACAGGATTCCTCTGGATCAAACCGTAACCTTTTCGGGCTTATTTGCATATTATCTTTAGGTCTCTGCAAGGACCAACTGAACAAGTGTTTATGCAAGCGATCAATATTTAATCATAGCTACAACATGAGAAAGGCAAACGCAGACCTTTTTAAGACCCAAGCACTCGTCCAAGTCCAACGAGCCAAGTAGGCAGACGGGATCGCCCGACTAGATCACAGGTTTCCAGCCTGTCGTATGTGAAAGTGCATTTTCGCAATCATTAAATGATGAATATCTCGTCAAAGTAGATAGATGATTCATAATTGTAATTGAAGTGTAAACCTCTTACAGCGCCTTGTTTGGAGTTAAATTTGATATATTGAAAATCCTGCTGATTTATCGGGGGGGGGGCAGGCAGAGAGAGGATGCTGGGGTTTCTAGGAAACAAGCTCTAAATAGCAACAGAAGAGTTCAGCCTTCCACCTAAACACCACATTTCATGAAGCTGAATGTACCACCGTGTCAGTCTCTGTATGAATGCATGAAACCAGAGGGAAGATATGATCTGAATGTTAGGTGGTATAACAGTCTGTTCAGACATTTCTTCTCTGTTCATTCTCAGGCTCACCAGTCGGTGCCTCGAAGTTTGGAGTTAATTTATTTGCATGCGTGAATATGATGTAACGGACCAGACAGATGGTGGCGTGTGTGCAGCGGATGTCCCAACGAGATAAAAACAAAAAAAAGCAGTGTAACTGGATAATGACATTTAAAAAGCATCTCGTCTCATCTTAGGAGTCCCGTAAACGTCGTCCTCGGCTCCGCCGGGTCTGCTGCGAGCATGCAGTGTTTAGACAGAGCCAGAGATTGATCCTCCACACCCGCCTCTCTTCCCCCGTTAGCCCGAAAGCGTCAACCAGAGCCAAGCTCGCATGCTATTACAAACTTGGCCACGCTCTCTTATCCACCATTCCTCGGTCTCTTTATTATAAGTCCTGAACTTGGAGCATGAAATGTTTTCCGTTTGACAAGGTTTGGATTATTTTTGATGGTTTTTTTGTTCGACAAAATTTAGCTGCATCAGACTTTGGGAACTCAGTGATGTAACGGTGGATATTTTCCCGACCAGACATTATGCTGCTACTCTCGTCCTGGTGAAATAACAGCAGTGTGGTGAGCGTGGCTGTAACCAGTGCACAGATGACTGATGGGTAACCCTACAGGCAAAAGTGACTTGTTGCTGGAATGGACCCGGCTGCACATTGAAGGTTATAGAGCGCAGAACAAGTAACTGCCTGTGAGAGAGAAGAAGAGTATTCTGTGCTCATCCGTCATGTAATAGCAAAAAATAGAAACATTTGAACCATGCCAGATCAGATTGAGATGCTGATGTATTCCCTTTTGAAGGGAAAATAAGTGTTCCTATTAGGAAATTAGTTTTGTACAATGTGGTCAAAGCACATGTTCAGCTGCAGTGGAGCAATTCTTAAGCCTTAGGGCACAACAACAGTGTGCATACTCGAAGGGTTATTCCAGGTTATTATGTCTCGGGTCATCATTTCTGTTGACTGCGATAGCATTGGACTCAACAAAGTCATTGAAACACGACAACATTGCTGCAGCAACAGTCGGGCGATCAGACGGGTTGTAAATAAGGTCAAAGCGAAAGAGAGAGTACCTGAAGATGGCAATAATAATCCCGTATCTAGTTGATCCTAGATGTCGATCTATGAACTCTGATGCATGTTTACAACAACATAAATGTGTACATCATATAATATATATAACATCGATAGTAAAATAGATAAAAGGTTACTCTGCTATAGATTCTAAGCAGTGAAAAGGTTTATGTCACAGTTTTACAGTTTCCTCTTTTTCTCTTTCAGGTTTGGCTGTCGTTGGTTTTTCTTTAAAACCTAAATAAATCCCGACAGTTTACTTTCGTTGTCCTGTTGGACTTATTTTTAGCAATGTCGCCACATTCCCCAGTCTCAGCGTTTAACTAGAGCACATTGTAAGGCTTTAACAATGCTACTGTTACTTTTATTATCAAATAATATGCCATTATTAATGAATTACTTTGTTTATTATGTGGCAGTATATTGTTCCAGAACCAGGTGCCACGTCTGCAAATTGCTTGTTTTGTCCCAAACTCCCCAAAGAGACCCCAAAGATATTCAGTTTAGTTTCATAAATAACTAAGAAAACCAGCAAATAGTCACATTTTAAAAAGTCGCAACCAGGAAGTCTTTGGAATTTCTATTCCGTTATTAAAATAGCTGCCGGTTAATTTTCTTCCAATTAATTAATCGACTAATTGTTACAGCTCTCGTACATTATTATTATTATTATTATTATTATTATTACCAATAGGAATGATGGCCAAAACCAGTCCAGAATTCCTCTTTAATGATACGTCGCCCTAGTCTCTATTTTATCACCCTTAACACTGCCCTACTGTACTGTATGTGTGCGGCCTTATCAGCCTACTCGGCAGCAGTTGTGGCAGATCTTCTTGGATTCTGCTCTGTAGTTTGATGTTGGAGATTTTGAGATTACTTTTGGGCTTTTGAAAAATCTCTTTTTTGCCTCGTGCATCAGCTTTCATTGTGGGGTTTCCCCAAAAGTTATGTGTGTGCGCCTGCACTATCTGGCTTCTGTGGGAGCTGTAGATCTCACCCAGAGTTCAACACTCAGCACTGGAGTTAATGTAGGCAAATGAGATTCTCCTGACCTCAGCAGTAGCGGGGGCAGAGAGCCCAGCTACTGCTGAGGCCCACAGCGCACAAAGACCGCCGTGTTTCTATTGTGTTTTTGTCATTAGCATTTTGCCAGCTCTCGGTGTGGCCCCCCCCCCCCCTCACTGATTTCCTGCAGTGATATCTCCGACCAGCTGGTTAATCGTCCCCATGTACCTACTGTAGAGGGGAAATTACAGAAGACAGAAGATGTGACATAGATGCATCCTGAGCCCTGATATGAAGTGTGACGGAGCTGCAGGATGTTTGCTATGTTCAGTCGTATACAGGATGTGGTATAAAAAATATCATGGAAACAAACATGATGGGATGTACAGACATGGTGGAGAAAGAGGCTGAGTGATTAACCCGGCCTCAATTATTTGTAATTATTTGTAATTAATTAATTATTTGCTTCGTTTGCTGTTTGGGCGTCTCGTGAGCCGTCAATCACGGCCGTCAGTCAGGTGATGGATCTGATAACGCTGTAATGTACTCGGCTGGTTTGACCTGTTGTCTATAGTTCCTCATGAGATTGTGTGTCTTCCTGTATTTCAGCATTTTCTTGTGTGGGTGTGCCGTTTTTAGAGGAGCAGAAGGGCCTGGCAGCTTTCTGCTTTATTTATTTGAACAGGAGTCATTCGTCCCCCTAGGCCTCAGATGGCCTCCGCCGTGTTTGTTGTCTAAACCCGTCACAAGGATGAAATATAAATATCACTTTTGGGCCAAATTAAATAAGGTGTGTCTACAAATGTGAGCGACTCATCTGCTCCCCATGTTGAGCAATTATTTTCAGACTCCAGTCTGATAGATGACGACAGAATGAATAGCCTCAAGTGCTGCTATTTCAGCATTATTATTTTAAAGAGTACTACATATAACGTAAGATACCTTGGACAGTTGAGACGGTCACCATCCAGTTAAGCTGCTGTCCAGAGAGCCAGGAAGACTGACAATAAACCTATTTTTAAATTTACTGTGTGTAGGATGTATCCGGAATTTTAGTTTTAGAACATTTAAAGAATGAACTCCCATAATCAACAGACTGTGAAGAGGTGACGATGTTATCTTGTGTTGCAGAGATATCCACGTACTTGTGTTAATACTTGTTCCTCGGGAGGCGATAGTGAGTCACTGTAGAGTCCAGACAAGCTTTGGGTCAACAACACGCGTGAAGATTATAAGACTGTTAAGAGTGTTATTTTAACCGGCTCTTAGAGTTTCAGCACATTGGTTGAAGTTTGCGTATTCTTCCTCTGCTGTTAGTTAGTAGTTGACTTTTTTTTGTTGTTTTTTTGTTATATAACTGATGACTAACTAAATATCTGACGTTTGTTCTCTGTAACGGTCTCTGAGTCTGTAACTTTACCGGTTCCCTCCACCTTCTTTTACTTCTCTTTTTATCAGATGTAAGGATTTGCTCTCCTCCATTCATGGTCCTGAACACAGAGTGCAGCCCAGATGTGCTGGAGCATATCAAGAGGCAAGGACTCACATTCCCCTTCAGTAAGTGTTTTTTTCTCTTCCCTAGATATTGAGGACCTACATCTATACATAACCTACACCTAATATTGTACTGTTAACCACTCATTATACTTTGAAATCTTGTTGTATAAATTGTATACCTGTGTCTCATTTCATTTGTGCGTCACAGTATTGCACTACGGTAGGTTTCCGTGCTTAATTCTCTGTTTTTCTCGCCCTTCTTTCCTTCTTCAGTTTGCAAAACACGGGTGGCTCATGGAACCAACTCCCATGAGGTAAGAGGCCCACAGGGCTGCGAGGTCACTCACACCCTCCACAGTTTGCTTTGTGTGAGCAGTAACACCTTGAACAACAAAATCAGATAAAGTGCTGTAAGTCGTGTATCTTTGCTCGTCAGCTGAAATCGATGCCCCTGTCAGGCTCGCCAAATAGTCTTCATTCCTCCACACTCACTGTATTGTATTAAGTTAGGAATTAACTATTTTGGTTGATGAGTATATTTAGGCGTGTCGTTTACTCGGTGTGCTCCTGTCCACAGATGGCCATAATCTTCAGTGAAGAGGACCTGAAGGACGTGAAGCCTCCTTGTGTGATCCAGAGCTTCATCAACCACAACGCAGTGCTCTACAAGGTGTTTGTGGTCGGAGACTCTTACACCGTGGTGGAGAGACCTTCACTGAAGAACTTCCCTGCTGGACCGGCAGGTGAGTAAACAGACAGACAGGCTGAGAGAGAGACAGGCAGGGATATCTAAGGGCTGCCACACTGGACAGACTGTACAAGTTGCACGGCTTCTCCAAATAACCCAATGAAAGAGCTCATAAAATGGCTTTATAGCCCCTGTGATTGGACCTATTCACCCTTTTAAGGGATGCAGCATGGTGCAATTGAGGTTTGCCCTGTTGATACTGTTGAAAATATAAAGAGGAGTGGTGTTTTCTCTCCATAAACATGTCAGAAGCCTTACCCATGATGCAACTTTAAACACAGGGTTGTCCCCTGGCACAAATGACTCCAGTATTTGCATGTGAGACAGTAGAGGCCCTCATGAAAAGCGGTTTTGGCCATCAGTGTAGTAGACTGCTTTTTGTTACGCTGCAGAGAGAACCGCTGCCTTCAGCCGGGAATGCTGAGCGGTGCAGCAGAAAAGCACAACCCTTGTCAAACACATAAAGAAACATGCCACACTGTTCCATCTGCACAGCGTTTAGTCCAATGTGCTCTGCAGCCCGGAGCCATACATCGGCTTTTCTAAGTGGAGGAGAAGGCCGGATGAAAGAGTGAGGTATGAAGATAAAGAGGGGTAGGAGTTAGATCTTTAAAATAACAGTGTAAGAGATGTTCTGTCTCATCCAGCCTTCCTCTCCTTAAGTTGCTGTTTGTTCATCCAGCTTGGGAACGAACACTTCATTACCACGACCCTCTACAAAGCCGAGGGGACAAATTTATTTGGACAGTGATGGAATTTACTTTCCGCCCCTCCCCTCTTCCTTCCCTCCAACACTCTCTAAAGTTAATCATCGCAATGGTAACAAAGAAAAAAGGGGCAATAAATTCAGAAGTTCATGCTGTCACATTCATCACTGCTTCAATGAAAACCCACGGTCCCAACGAGCAAAACAACTTGCATGCTGATTTGTTCGTAAGTGAGCACTCAACATGACGTGGTGAGAGGGTTGAATGTCGAGGCTTCGCACCAGGGTGGTTTGGTTTAGGGTTTCTGTTTCTTTACACCAGGTGTTAAAACCGGTAAATAAAGACTAGAATTAAGCTCTGGTTGCCTCATTGCACTGTGTAACCAGTTAAGTTCTGCTGCCACCTGCTGCCAGAGAGGAGAAATGTACATAGATGACCGCGCTAGGAAAGCGTGTAGTCAAAGCTCTTTAATATTCAAACTCACCTTTTTCTTTTTCCCCTGCCTCCTTTTCAGACAGGAAAGCAATTTTCTTCAACAGCCACAATGTTTCAAAACCAGAGTCGTCCTCCGACTTGACCACGGTACGTCCACAGTGTCACAGAGTTGCTGTCCCGTGTGACGTTTCAACGTTTTGTTGCTGCTGATCTTTAATATTGTATCTTTATCCTCAGAGAGAGAACGTAGAGGGAGTATCTCAGCCACCCAGCGATGACGTCATCAGGGAGTTGTCCAGGTCATTGCGGCAGGCGCTGGGCGTGTCCCTGTTTGGCATCGACGTCATCATCAACAACCAAACGGGCCAACATGCCGTCATTGACATCAATGCATTCCCTGGTAGGTGCAGCCTCCCATCCACTAGTAAAGTAAAATGAAATGGCACTTCAGTCTGAGCATCAGTCTAGTAAATAAACTATACTATGCATGTATACAAAAACAGCTTGCATGTAAATAGGAACACAACCCTTATATGTATAATTAGCTAAAGTGACTGATGTCCCCTAATGTTCTCAGGTTATGAGGGCGTCCCGGAGTTTTTCAATGACCTCCTGAACCACATCACCAGCGTGCTTCAGAGCCACAACCCAGACTTCGCCCCCGCCAGCGAGCAGCCCAATAGCCTGCCGGTGAGCACCACGGTACCCAACGCCGCCCCGCCGCCGGCCCCCGGCTGCTGCAGCATGCTGGGAAAAGAGGCCAGCGGCAGCCCCTGGATCGTAGAGGGCGACGGCGGGCTGAAGGGCCCCCGTCAGAGACTGGGCTGCAACTCCGCCATGTCCCCCAACTTCCAGCAGCACTGTGTCTCCACAATAGCTACCAAGGCTTCCTCCCAGTGACTGATTCCCTGCCCCCACTCCGTTTGATCCCAGAACAAAAAAAAACGGATGACAATGGTGACAATAATAATGAATAATAATCATAATAATTATGATGTTAATGATGATAATATATCTAATCAAAAAACAAACCTTTTCCGATATAGTTATTGAAAATGATGGTGATTGAGTGTACGCTTTTTTCTCTCTGCCTTTTTGTATTTTTTGTTTTGTCTACTGAGGTTTAACAGTACTGTAATGTGAACTTTTGGGAACTTTTGCCTAATAGCTGATTTTATTTTTCTCTCTTGTGTGAGTTCTCTGTAATGAAAGGGTCCAGATGAGGGAGCTAATGGCAATGGCTGAATCAGGACTGGAGAAAGATGTGCCACTAGACGTGCAATGTATGATCCCTTGTATCTCTCACACACACACGCACACATTAACGCACTCACACATACACATAGGTACGTTTACATTGCGACGGACCGTGCCAGTGATGTGTGTTTGTATTCTGATCAATACCACTGACTCCTCTGCACAAAGTGACGGGAAGAGCCGGTGGCTGGGCATTTGAACACTACTCCACTGATCCCGGGCTGCTATGTGAGCGTGGCCAACTGACGTCGGCAGAGGACATAAAAGAGTCTGAACATGAATGACGAGATAGTTTTGGGGTTTTGTTAGTTTACACAAACGGGTAAGTCGTATACTTCTCCGAGTGCCATCAAATTTACTTCAAGTGTAGGAAGGTTCAAAGAAGGAAGTAAATCTCCATGACCATGTGACCAAGTTTTATTTTTTGATTGTCGCACCAATGTTTGTCGGTCTTTGGGTGTTTTACCGTATGTCAGATATCGGGTGTTCAACAAACAAACCGCGTTCTTGTTAGAGTACCAGTCTTGAGTTGCTCCGGTGCAGGAAGACGAGGATCACATTCCTTTTCCCGCTTGTGGTTTTCAGAGAATTCCGTAATGTTTCATAATTCCAGTGGGATCTTGTGAGATTCCTCTCATCACTTCGTGGGTTTGTAATCTCTGTAAACGGACACAGTTCTCCACATGTCTCCAATGCTTGTATCTAATGTGAGCAAACTACTCTCCTGAAGCCAACTTGACCTGTCAAAAAAACAAAAAAAACGTGGGGCTGCTGTGTTAATAAGATAATTGTTAATCAAAGAATCAATTATTCCACTAAAATCAAGGTAAAATGTGTCTTTGAATATCTAATTATTGGGTATTATTTTGATATCATTAAATGACAATTCTAGCTGATTAAGGAATTTGTTTAGCTTTGTTGTGTCTATCATTTGATTTAGTTTCACTCTAACAGCACTTTCTTACAAAATGTAGTGAAGAAACCTTCAGTCCAGTCGGTTCATTTGCTTCATGCTTAAATTCTCTGACCCGTCTCCTGTTCCAGCTGCTGTATTTGTGTCGGATGTTCAAATCATTCTGAGGGGAAGTGAGGGAGAGACGGTGCGGATCTTGTTCCCAATGTTCACTGTGAGATTTTTTTTTTACTCCAATTTTGTTAATATCTTTGTCCTGATATCTACTAAGAGCAACTTTATTTTATTGAGATTTTATGGGGAAAAGGTTTTATATAAATGAAATGAAAGCACTGGGATGTTTTTGAACAAACGGTGGATATTTTACTAGAGGTATAGTAAAATGCTGGGTCGGGTTGTACCGGTGGTGTCAAAGGCACAGATAGGCTCGTGGTTGAATGCTGTTGTCTCCCTCTAGCATCTAGTGGGAAGGAGTGCCAACCTGCAGATGTTTGCGTTCCCCTGAGCCTGCTTCTTCTCTTGTCCCAGAGAGCTCCTTCCAGCTGTTTCCTTTCCTCCATCAGTATCCGAGGGAGCCAGCCGACTGTCCTCTTGCTCGCCCTGTGATCCTAAATGATAGTGTCAGCGCAGCCATCTCACCAGCATCTCTCTGGGACAAAAGAATACCAGCGGTGTTCTGAAAGTTGGCCTTCACTGAACACATTGTGAGAAATATTCCCACAATGCAGTTGGTTGTCCCTGTCTTAATCTCCCACAACTTGAGCGTGTTGTGAAGCAACTGTAAAAGGTAATGCAGCAGATTCAGGGGAACTTTTCACATCCTTCCCCCCCAGATTCATCATCTAGAAGAAGGGGCGACGCTTTGAGCGCGCGTCCCTGTTAAGGCTGGAAAGGCTGATATCTGTGTACGCCACTATATCTTGTGTCCTATGTTGTGTTCCTTATTGTGCTTCTAAATGGGAAATAAATGGTTAATCCTACCTTTGGTCATTTCTGCAACCCACTGTCCTGCTCCCAGTTTCCACCTGGATGTTTACTTCTTGGGTGTCTTGTACAGTACGTGTATGTATGTATATATACCGAGGCTTACATCCGTACAGTGTTTTGTATCGGTTCTGTAATTGAAAGAAATCCACAATTTTGTGACCTTTTTTTAATTAAATGGCCAAACCAACAAGGCGAAATAAACATGTGAAAGCCTATTTAATTCATCTTGGTTTTCCTAACTGACTTTGTGGGTGAATGCTGTCCTGGCCAGTGTTTTATTTAGGTTACCTCAGAGTACAGTGAGGGACTAATAACCCACGCCTAATAACTGTTACATGAGACTATAATCTTCATTCTGATCAATCCATTCAGTTGATCTCTTGTGGTCATTATTGAATACTTTAATTTCTTTCTACAAAACTTCCTTCATGGATGTATCGAGTGTAAAGAGAAGAGCGCAAAGCAAAGCAGCATTTCTCAACCGAACCTCCAGATGTTTATTGACTCAGCATTTATGAATCAAGCATTTCATTTCATAGTATTGGAGACAGTTAAAAAAAAAAAAGACAAACTTTTTTCAACAAGTTCAACGGAGACAAAATGGTTGCTTATTAAAATAAAAAAAATATCTTTTCATAATCTTAGTCTTCTGTACATGTAAAAAAACAAACAAACCGATATATTTACAAGAAAGACAAACAGGTTTCTAAAGCTACGTTGTGTTCCCTGCCAGGCCTCTGTGCTGCTGGGATGTCGTTAATGAGGTTGTAGATGATGTGCTGTGGGGTTTGCCAGCAGTCCCAGGATGGTGGAGAGACAGTGCAGTTTCTCCTTGACGTGCTCTGGCAACTTCTCGTTCTCCTTATACCTGTGGACAAGACCAGCATTAATGAGAGCTGTCCCCAAAGCTGTCGCTGCCTTAACAACACAGCTGTGACGTGTTTTGCACCTGGTGAGCCTCCCCTCTGGAGACGTGTAGGTGATGCAGGAAACTCCAGCCTGAACCACCAGCTGAGACCCGTCGTTGAACTGCACCCACACCTCTCCACTCGTCAGCTGCAGAGACGTGAATAGAGATCAAATAATTCAAATCACAAAGACGATTAATTACTGGTGATAGAATAGTATCTTCATTTATTCAGCAGTTACCTGGGATGCCCATCCAACATTGGGCACAAATATGGACTTGACCACTTTTCCTGTGTTTTGCACCATGTCCTGTCGCAACGGGGAGCTTTTCTTACTCAAGCTGGCTGTGGTGAAATCCGACCCATTGTAGGAGATCATCTGAAAATAGATATACTTGAAAATTAAAGAGAAATCTCCTTATAATCTGTCTGTTTAAGCCTCTAAACTATCTGTTTGTAGGCCCTGAAGTGTGGGGCTGTGAGACACTCACTGAAGGAGTGATTTGGGGAGGTTGAGGAGGCGAAGCTATATCAGGAGGCACCGGGTGTGAGGGCAGGGACGAGGGGCACGGGGAGTCTGGGTTGGCCGGTCTCCTAGGAGGGGGTGACATACACAAAACTGACATTAACCACACGAGGCAACATCGCAACCAAGAGGATACTTATAACGGCACGTTTCTCTCACCTGCCAATAGTTATGGGGAAGAAGGGGACCTTTTTGGTGCTGCGCTGCTCCTCAACCGTGATGGCGGCCTCCAGGGACAAACACATGCTGTGGCCCTCGTCGGACATCTCCACACACAGCCGGCTCTCCGGGCTCAGGCCGCTCAGCCCCACCTCGCCCTTCACGGTGTACGACTTCCCGCCCTTCTCCACCCGCACCAGCTCTGACGTCTTGTGAGTCTTCGCTCCTGCAAAACAAGAGTCTATGAAGCATTTACGGACACAATAAGGGTGAGTGCAGTTTCTCCCTCAGCTGGATCACATGCTTCAACAAACACACGTCACGCACCATCATAAAAGCAAACTTCCAGGTCTGCATTGGGAGAGTTCTCCATCAGCATGACCTTTGCGTATTTGGTGTAAAGGGTCACTTTTGGAGTCTTGGATTTCACGAGCTGCACAAACTTGGAGGCGTATTGGTACTTCTTCCAGTATTTCTCTGTGACAGAAAATAAAATAAATCAATTAACGTACAATTTGTAATCTTATACACGCTAAAGCTACTGGGTTTGATGCATCCACCACAATACCTGGAAGGTCCTCGTAGCTACAAATCAGAATATCTTCTGGAGGAGCAGGAGGACAGTCCAGGACAGGAAATCCCTTCCCACCATTGGGCTGGTATATTGTCACCTAAAAGAGATGATAATAACAAGCTTTATATCATAATATGCCACCAGCCTTTCATCATATAATGTTGATGTAACATCCCTCTTCCAGTCCCATATGGAACATATCAGAGACATACTTCACAATGCAATTCAGTGAGCTCACCATCGAACCATCGCAGGAGATCCGAAGGACTTCTTTGACCCTCTCTTGACCACTGTGGCATTTTAACAACTCCATACACACTTCACCCGTGTCCAGGACGCTCACCTGTAGGAAACAAATAGGACAATTACCTCATCTGCTGGCACAGCGAACATTTAACAGGTTATCAAAAGAATATGTGCAATATCTTACAACAGCATTTTTGGTCTTCTGTCTGATAGGCTTTAGTCTGGACGCGCACAGCGGCGGGACGACTTCTCTCAGCGTCTTCTTCTCTTTATCCACACTGGGTTTGGCTGAAGGGAGCTTTAATTCACTGGCGTGAGGAGGTTGGAACTCTGCTCCAGGTATATTTTCCCTGTACGAGTCAGAGTTGGAGTGCAGGTTGTGGTGAGTGTTCGCCCCTCGGCTCATGGGCTTGTCTGTCCACGAATTGTGAACCCCCAAAGGACCTCTGCTGCTGTGGAAGCTGCCGCTGCTGCTGTGAGTGCTGCTGTCTGCGGGCCTCTGCCCAGAAGCTGAGAAAGAAGAGTAAATATTTGTATAGATCTGGTCACACATCTGGTTGTAATTGTGTTTTAAGATTCATTTATCAAGTTTTATTCCCTCTCATTCATATTCAGTCTCACAGGGATGGCTGGAGACTATACTGGCCTCTATGTCTACGGGTAAATCTCTAAAAACAATAGATAATTAAGAGCATCCCCAACCAAGCAACTGAACCATCGAAAAGTTCCCTGAATGAGAACATCAGCTGAGGGATACGACTGAAGTAACAATGCTGAAATCTCTAACACGCAGAGATAATGAAAAACCTCAATCTTACCCTCATTATTGAGCCAATTTGTAACTCCCTCCAGGTCTTGAAATTGCAAGTTTGGCGGATGTGCAGTCTGTGTGGGAAACAGATACCCAGGACTGAAACAGAAAGTGTAATCCGTTAGTCTTATTACATTTTGTAAAAAGATGAAAAGATGATCATAAATAGAGAGACTTCTTACTTTGGTGACTGTTTGACAGGGGGAGAAGGGTGCTTTCCGTGCTCTGAAAATGGGTGCGGAGTGGAGGACATTGGGAAGACTGGTCTTCCTAAACCAGTAAGAGTCTCCTCTGAGTGGCATCTCCCCAGCTCAGCGTGACTCGCCCCATGGCCTGAGGCAGAGGAGCTGGAGCGATCTGAAGAGTGAGCCCTCCTCAGGTAGCGAGAATGAGGCTGCCCACCGTCTCCACCATGAACCCCCCTGCTCCTTCCCTCTCTGTGGAATATGTCCGCTGGAGGCTGCTGACACTGGTCTCCGTCTTCACAACAGGCGTGGTTGGGTTGGCGCGGAAGAGTTGGAATAGGCGCCATTCGGTTCGGCAGGGCAGAGCCAATCATGTGCCTGGTTCTCCTCTGGAGGCGGCTATTGCTGCTGGCCGAGGTGGAGGAGGTGCAGGCTGTGGAGATGGTGGCAATGCCGCTGTCCATGGATCCTTCGTCCCCCAACCCCAGCTCCTTGGTCCTGAGCAGCAGGTTTTGGGTCATGAACGGGTGGTCCAGCACCGCAGAGAGGCTGGGCCGGTGGGCAGGGTCCCTCTGCAGCAGGAGGTGGATCAGGTCCTGAGCCTCTAGAGAAATGTGGCCAGGCATCTCATACTCCCCAAGAACCACTTTGGACAGAGTGTGTTTGACTGTGTCCGTGTCAAACGGAGGGTGACCCATCAGAAAGGCGTAGAACATGCACCCCAGTGACCAGACGTCCGATTCAAGACCATGGGCGCTGCGAGTGGCCACCTCCGGGGAGATGTAGTTAGGAGTGCCGCACATGGTGAAGTGCTTTTCAGTTGGGAGTTTGAGCTGAGTGGCCAGGCCAAAGTCTGCTATCTTAATGTTCATGTTGCTCGTCAACAAAAGGTTTGACAACGTCAGATCTCGATGCAAGATGCCGTGAGTGTGTAAATAAAGCATTCCTTTCACTATTTGATGCATGAAATGTCTTGCTGTGGAGCAAAAAATGTAAAAAAATAAAATAAAAAAAAAGGTTAAAAGGTTGGCCTCACTAAACCCATGTCCTGCAATAGAATTCAAATTGTTTTGTCAAAGTAAAATAGTTTCCTGACCTTCATCCTCAGAGAAAGCAATTTCCCGCTCTTTCAGGTGCCGACTCATCTCCCCACTGTGGCACATCTCCAACACCAAGTACACATAGTTGCTGTCCTCAAAGTAGTTGTACAGCTTGAATAAAGACATAATACAGTATTTATTATCACGTCAAAGAGAGAAGGCACAGAAAATACACATTTCACCGTAATGGTGAAACTATCAAAATGTATTGCTGTGGTCCAAAAAAGTTGTATCAAATTTCCACCAGTATCTAAACAAAGAGCCGGCGTCCTGGTTAATCTTCAAGACCGACGTGAACAAAGAAACTACAGAAGCTCCACATCACATAACCATGACAACGACAGCGCAAAGCTCAAATCAGCAGACTCAAACAGCCGTCACACAGATTTTTGGGAGGAACTGTAACTGTAGGTAGGCTGTGCCAAAAACTTGTGTTACCTCAAGTATGGAAGGATGCTTCAACCGGCACTGAATCTCCACCTCG